CGCTCGGGCCCGTCGGTCCTCGAGGTGTCAAGCTGCGAGGCGCAAGCTGGGGCGCCGCACAGCCTTGGGCGGCCGCCCTCAGCAGGGGCGCTGAGCGCGGCGGCGGCCAGGCGGTGCTCGGGCCCTGCGGGTACGCTCAGGCGTTGCAAGGACAAGCGGAAGACGGAACAGAGACGACGACGACGACGACGACGACGACGACGACGACGGCGACGACGACGACGACGGCGACGGCGACGGCGACGGCGACGGCGACGGCGACGGCGACGACGACGACAACGGCGACGGCGACGTGCGCCGCGGCACGGCAGTTGCCGCGACGCACGTCGCCGCCGCCGTCGCCTTCGGCTTGTCATTGCTAGACGGACTTACCCTCGGCGGACTTACCCTTCGGCTTGTCCTTGCTAAACCCTGCAATGCTTGCAGTGGGCCTGGCCAGAATCCGTCTTAGAGCAAACGAAAAATAAACGCTTCCACAACTTCGTGCTGGTGCCAGCGCCATGCCACGGGCAGGTGGATCTCACCCGCGCGACTCTGCGGAACAACTCTTGCAGTGCCGCGACGCACGTCGCCGTCGCCGTCGCCGTTGTCGTCGTCGTCGTCGTCGTCGTCGTTGCCGTCGCCGTCGCCGTCGTCGTCATCGTCGTCGTCGTCGTCTCTGTTCCGTCTTCCGCCTGTCCTTGCAACGCCTGGGCGCACCCGCAGGGCCCGAACGCCGCCTGGCCGCCGCCACGCTCGGCGCCCCTGAGGGCGGCCGTCCAAGGCTGCACGGCGCCCCAGCTTGCGCCTCGCAGCTCGACACCTCGAGGACTGACCTGATCCTTTCGTCGTCAAGGCGTCCACGACGTTGTCGGACCTGAGCGGCGAGCGCAGCGTCAGGGCAGCGATGGGCGCGTTTCGCACCCAGCTCCCATGGTCGGCGACGTTCAAGACGGGCCTGGTCACGCCGATAAGGCGGCCGACATGAGGGCAGCGCTGGCTGCTTTCACCCCTGGCCTCGTCGAGGCCCCCCACTCAGAGCATGGGCAACACGCTGTTGAGCGAGACGTTCAAGCAGCTCCGCGCGCAGTACCCACGCGCCGACGCGCTGGGCCCTGGGCCAACCGAAGGGTGGAATCAAGCGGAGCGGGCAGGCCTTCTGGTTCGGTGACCGAAACCAGCGCCCCACCATCCCGCCCCGCCTGATTCACCCCTTCGGTAAGCCCATCCGCTGGCGCCCCTTGATTCACCCCTTCGTTCAATTTTGCGAGGGTCCTGTTTAGTTGTCCTAGGGTCTCGTTTAGCTTTGCTAGGGTCCTCTTTAGTTTTCCTACGGTCTCGTTTAGATTTGGCAGGGTCATGTTTAGTTGTCCGAGGGTATTATATATATATATATATATATATATATATTGGGGGGGGGGGGCGTTCTGTTTAGTTTTCCTGGGGTCTCGTTTGGTTTTCCTATGGTCTTGTCTAGTTTACCTAAGATCTTGTTTAATGTTGCTAGGGTCCTGTTTAGTTGTCCTAGGGTCTCGTCTAGTTTTCCTCAGCAGCATCGTCAGCGTCATCCTCACCATCATCGTCATTGCCTGAGGTCTTATGTATTTCACCGTCAGCATCGTCCTCACCTTCATCACAATCATCATCGCCATCATCGTCATCATCTTCATTTTCGTCATCATGCCTTCGGCAGGCTGGGGCAAAGCACGCTCGCCCCCCCCCCCCCTGGCGCCGTCCAGGACGACCCAGCAGTGGGAAACTAAACGCGACCCAAAAGAAAACTAAACACGACCATGGTCGGTGGTGATGATGGCGACTACTACAGCACGACTCACACGACCATGGTCGGTGGTCGACGAGGGCCGCGGGAGCGAAACTGAGGATTGAGATGATGTCGGTGGTCATGATGACGATGGTCATGATGTCGGTGGTCACGATGTCAGGAGTCACGATGACGATGGTCATGATGTCGGCGGTCATGTCGCTGATTGTGACGATGATGTGGGTGGTCACGATGGCGCCTACCACTTGCGCGGCGGTGACGACGACGTGTTTTTCCGCTCGCCAGTGTCGCGGCGCCAGCTGCCGCGACGCCGCCTTGGCCTCAGAAGGCGCCAGAGGCAGCCGCACGCCAGAGGCAGCAGTGACACGGCCACGCCCGAGGCCTAGGCAAGGCCTAGGTTCGGCCAGGAACGAGCGGCCATCAGTGCGAGCAGCAGCTGAGGCCCAGCGCGCAGTGCAAAAATAGTGGAGGGCACCCTATCGCCTCAGCAAGAGCAAGGACTCAATCAGTCACTCACCCAACACCACAGAGAAAAAAGCCTGGACCGCCGCCCACTTACTCAACAGCTGGGCCCTCAACAGCTAGGGTCTCGTTTAGTTTTGGTAGGGTCCTGTTTAGTTGTCCTAGGGTGTCGCTTGCTGTTGCTAGGGTCCTTTGTAGTTGTCCCAGGGCCAGGGTCCTGTTTATTTGTTGTCCGAGGATCTCGATTAATTGTCCTAGGGTCCTGCTTAGTTTTCAGAGGCTCTCGTTTAATTTTGGCCGGGTCCTGTTTAATTTTCCGAGGGTCCCGTTTAGTTTTGCTAGGGTCCTGTTTAATTTGCCTGGGGTCCCGTTTAATGTTGCTAGGGTCCTGTTTAGTTTTCCTGGGGTCTCGTTTAGTTTTGCTGGGGTCCTGTTTTGTTTTCCTAAAATCTCGTTTAGTTTTGGCAGCGTCCCATTAAGTGTTCCTAGGGTCTCGCTTAATTTTGGCAAGGTCCTGTTTAGTTTTCCTAGGGTCTCGTTTAGTTCTGCCAAGGTCCGGTTTAAATTGCCTATGGTCTCGGTAAGTTTTGGTCGGGTCCTGTTTAGTTGTCCTAGGGTCTCGTTTAATTTTGGCAGGGTACTGTTTAGTTTTCCTATGGTCTCGTTTAGTTTTGGTAAGGTCCTGCTTTGTTTTCCTAGGGTCTCGTTTAGTTGTGCCGGGGTCCTGTTTAGTTGTCCTACGGTCCCGTTTAGTGTTGGCAGGGTCCTGTTTAGTTGTCCTAGGGTCTCGTTCACTGTTGTGTTTTTTTTTTTTTTTTTTTGTTTTCCAAGGGTCTCGTTTAGTTTTGGCAGGGTCATGTTTAGATGTCCTAGGGGGCCCCGATTAGTTTTGGTAAGGTTCTGCTTAGTTTACCCATGGTCTCGTTTAGTTTTGGTAGGGTCCTGCTTAGTTGTCCTAGGGTCTCGTTTAGGTTTGCTAGGGTCCTGTCTAGTTTTCCTAGGGTCTCGATTAATTTCGGCAGGGTCCTGTTTAGTTGTCCTAGGGTCTCTTTTAGTTTGGCTAGGGTCCTGCTTAGATTTCCTGGTGTCTCGTTTAGTTTTGCGAGGGTCCTGTTTACATTTCCTGGGATCTCGTTTCGTTTTGCTCGGGTTGTCCTAGGGTCTCGTTTAGTTTTGGCAGGGTCCTGTTTAGTTGTCCGAGGGTCTCGTTCAATTTTGGCAGGGTCCTGTTTAGTTTTACTACGGTCTCGTTTAGTTTTGCCAGGGTCTTGCCTAGCTGTCCAAGGGTCTCGTTTCGATTTGCTAGGGTCCTGCTTCGTCTGGCTCTCGTTTAGCTGTCCGAGGGTCTCGTCTAGTTTTCCTAGGGTCTCGTTTAATTTCCCTCGGGTCCTGTTCAGTTGTCCTGGGGTCTCGCTTAGTTTTGGTAGGGTCTTGTTTAGTTTCCCAGGGTCTCTTTTAGTTTTGCTAGGGTCCTGTTTTGTTTTCCTAAAGTCTCGTTTAGTTGTGCTAGGATATTGTTTAGTTTTCCTCCGGTCTCGTTTAGTTTTGGTAGGGTCATGTTTACTTGTCCTAGTGTATCGTTTAGTATTGGCAGGGCCATGTTTAGTTTTCCTAAGGTCTCGTTTAGCGTTGGTAGGGTCCCGTTTAGTTGTCATAGGGTCTCGTGCACTTTTGCTAGGGTCCTGTTTAGTTGTCCTTGGGTCTTGTTTGGTTTTGCTAGGGTCCTGTTTAGTTTTCCTAGGATCTCGTTTGATTGTGGTAGGGTCGTGTTTACTTGTCCTAGGGTATCGCTTAGTATTGCTAGGGTCCTGTTTAGTTGTGCTACGGTCTCGTTTGGTTTTGGTAGGGTCCTGTTTAATTTTCCTGGGGTCTCGTTTAGTTGTCCGAGGGTCTTGTCTAGTTGTCCTAGGGTCTTGTTTAGTCTTGCTAGGGCCCTGCTTAGTTTTCCCATGGTCTCGCCTGGTTTTCCTCGGCAGCATCGTCGGCGTCGTCCTCGCCATCATCGTCATTTCCTAAGGTCTCATATGTATGTCACCGTCAGCATCGCCATCACCATCATCACAACCATCATCGCCATCATCGTCATCATCTTCATTTTCGTCATCATGCCTTCGGCAGGCCGGGGTAGAGCATTGGCGCCGTACTAAACACGACCCAGGAGAAAACTAAACACGACCAAGGTCGGTGGTGATGATGGCGACTACTACAGCACGACGAACGCGACCATGGTCGGTGGTCGATGAGGGCGGCGGGAGCGAAGCTGAGGATTGAGATGATGTCGGTGGTCATGATGACGATGGTCATGATGTCGGTGGTCATGATGTCAGGGGTCATGATGACGATGGTCATGGTGTCGGTGGTCATGATGTCGCTGATTGTGCGGATGATATGGGTGGTCATGATGGCGCCTATTACGATGGCGGCGATGACGACGACGTCTTTTTCCGCTCGCAAGTGTCGCGGCGCGAGCTGCCGCGACGGAGAAATTGGCCTAAGAAGGCGCGCCAGAGGCGGCGGCGCGCCAGAGGCAGTGACTCGGCCACGCCAGAGGCCTAGGCAAGGCCTAGGTTCGGCCAGGAACGAGCAGCCATCAGTGCGAGCAGCAGCTGAGCCCCAGCGCGCAGTGGAAAAGGCGCGGTGGGCACCCTATCGCCTTGGCAAGAGCAAGGACTGAATCAGTCACTCGCACCCGCGACCACAGAGAAAAAGGCCTGGACCGCCGCTCACTTACTGAACAGCCTCCATCGCTCTCTCCCGCCAGAGGCCGGGCCTCCCATCACTCGTGAGTTAACCTCGTCAGCATCCATTCCGTCAGCGCCCTCAGCGCCGACCTCGTCAGCACCCCTTCCAAGGCGATCTCGCGCCCGCCCTGGGCCTCGGCCGAAGGCGGCGCCTCCCGCCAGCGCCTCATTCCTAAAGGGACTGAGTCGTACCAAACTGCGAATTCAAAACGATCGTAGGCTTCCCCATCTCGAGCCGCGCGCTTCACACCAGATGACAGCCCCTCCAAGCTAAAGCAAATGCTACGGTAGGGGCCCAGGAGCTTGGACAATGATGGGGCCACGCTTCTGAGCCTGAGGGACTAAAAGGCATATGTCGAAACCGTCGGCGAGGACTGTGTTGCACACGTCTAGCGGGTTGGGAGCCAGCTGCATCTGGCCGGTCCGCCAAGGGGCGACGATCGCAGCACCAAACTGCGAGTCTTCGAAAAGAACGAGCATCTGCAATTCCATCTCGCAGGAACCGTTCAATGGGTCGATCCTAGCGCCCTTGCCAGAGACGAGGAGGGCGGCGATTACCTTCCCTGCCAGAAGTGAGGTTCGAAGAGGCAACATACTAATACAATTCGCCGCTAGCGCTCCAGCATATGCCAACTCCAAAGTAACAGCAAGGGGGAATTCGCCGCGGTCGCCGGACTCACCGTCGCCGTCTTGAGCCAGGCCCCGCCGCGCAGGCCGAGCGCGCACGAAGCGTTGGAACGGGCTTCCCACGCCCTGCGCCACAGGCGCAAGCTGCCTGCCAGGTTCGCCCTCCAGGGGCGCGTCACCGCGAACGCTGCCGCGGCCGCCCCGTCCGCGCCGAGGGCCTCGCGCGCGCTCCTGCACGCGGCGCAGAAGCGCAGGGCGCCCATCGCGGACAGCTCATCCAGCCACGCAGCGAGGAAGGCCTGCGTCGCGGGGGCGGCCGGCCCCGCGCGCGCGGCCCGCGGCGTCTCGGTCGAGGGGGGGGGCGCGCCAGAGGCAGCGGCTGAGGCTCAGAGTCTTCGCCAGGGCTGGGAGGCAGCGGCTGAGGCTCAGAGGCTCGCTTGGGCCGATGAGGCTGCGATGGCGCGCGGGGCCTTCCTATGGCGCCATCTTGGGGGGTCGGGGAGTCAGGGGGTCGGGGGGTCGGGGAGTCGGCGAGTCTGAGACGGGGAGCGGAGTCGGATTATCGGGGAGTCGCGGAGTCGCGGAGTCGGGGAGTCGGGGAGTCGGGGAATCGGGGAGTCGGAGAATCGTCGGAGAGTCCGGGAATTGTCGGGGAGTCGGAATCGGGAAGTCGGGGAGTCGGGGAGTCGGTCGGGGAGTCGGGGAGTCGGGGAGTCGGGGAGTCGGGGAGTCGTCGGGAAGTCGTCGGGGAGTCGGAGAGTCGTCGGGGACGATATCGAGACGAGATCGTGACTGGCGAGACCTGCGGCGATGGCAGCAGCGGCGGGGGTCCACATCACCGAACTGAGAATTCCGCGCATGGGCGTCACGCGCGGCAAAAAGTCAGCCACGTAACTTCTGCGAGAACTCACCCCTCAGAGCCGATGCCACTAGGCCCCTCTCGGAAGCGAGTGCTCGAGAGATCGCTCGCGTGGCAAGGGGGGCGCGCCAGAGGCAGTGCGTCGCCTACTCTTCGTCATCCTCGCCAGAGGCAGTGTGTCGCAGGAACAGCAGCAGGAGAAGCTCGAGGAGGCGGAGCAGCAGCAGCACCAGCAGCTGGCAGCGGCGCCAGAGCGTGAGCGTTCTTTTTTTCCCGCGGCACGCTGCGCACCAACGGCGCGGAGAGCACCTAGCACGGGGCCCTAGTTTGGAGAACCCTGCGCCAAACGAAAAAACGCCAGAGGCGGCCTGCAAGCCATTGCTGTGTGACAAGAAAAATTTCAGCGCCAGAGGCAGCCTGGATCAGTGTCATTCATCTTCAGGCTGACTCTCACTGGATCAGTGAGCTGGCAGCCTGGATCAGTCGACGATCCCAGTGCGGTTCTTCATCTTCTTGCTGCGTGGCTCTTCGGGAGCCGCCTCCTCGTCGCAGTGGCCCCCCCCGCCCGCGCCAGAGGCAGCGTTCCCCGCGCCAGAGGCAGCTGGAAGCCATTGCCCGCTTCCGCCAACCTGGATTTCCGAAGCTCGCCGCGCTCGCAGCACAAGCGGCACGCTGAATTGCCATTACTTCTTCTTTTGCTTCTCAGGGGGTAGCCTTTCGAAGTCGCTCTCGTAGAGCCGTCGCTGCCACGATCTGCAAGAACTGTCCAAGCTGCCCCCAGATTCGTTGAAGACGCCGGATCCTGAACAGGCTCTCCACGATCCAGTAGCAACGCTCAGCCGCAGGCCGCAGCCTGCGAGCACGCCCAACCGAGTCCGCCTCCGACTCAAACTCTCCAGACATCTGAACCCGCGCCAGAGGCAGCGACACCACCCTCGCGGTTTGGGAGGAGCGCGAAAAGCGATCTACTCGCGTCCGAGAGCCGAAACCGCTGTGGATGATGATGATGATGATGATGATGATGATGATGATGATGATGATGATGATGATGATGATGATGATGATGATGGTGATGACGAGCGACGCCGCAGATCCTTAATATGATGCCCCCCCGTGGTGGACCAGTCAGCTACTTTTGAACACTACTCCTGTAGAGGGACGGGCCCGACTTGAGCCCAGGTCTCGGGGCGCGCCTGGGGCAGCCCCCGTGGCCCTGCGCGTGCAGCAGCGCCTGGAACTGCTCGAAGCTGCTCGTGGCGGCGAGGCCCGGGTACCACTCCGGGTGCTCCCAAATGCCTCCCAGGGGCTCCCAGCTGCGCGCTTCGCGCTGCGCGAAACGCGAAGTGCTCGTGGCGGCGAAGCCTGGGTACCACCCCGGGTGCTCCCAGATGCCTCCCAGGGGCTCCCAACCTCGCGCTTCGCGCTGCGCGAAGCGCGAAGTGCGGATAACTTCGCGCTCTCGCGCCGCCTCCCAGGGGAGAAGAGGAGGCCGAAGAGGAATCGGAGCCGAACCGCGAAACGCGAAGAGTTTCGCGCCCTCGAGGGCGCCCTTGCCTCCGCTCCCTCCTCCAGTGAAGAGACGAGAAAAATCGACTCCCATCGTATTCGACCCCGTGTTCTGCCCACCCCGCCTCCCCCCAAATTCCTAAATCAGAGCTTGCCTCTGTAGGGGTCCTAGCGGATTTATATAGTTAGGTTAGCTGCGTCGCCGATTTTGGCGGCCCGCCCGGGTGCCCAGGTGCCCGGGTGCCCGGGAGCTGCGTCGCCGATTTCGGCGGCCCGCCCGCGTGTCCGGGTGCCCAGGTGCCCCATTGCCCTCTAGCCATATAGCCCTATCGCCCTACAGCCCTATAGCCAAATAGCCCAATAACCCTGTAGCCGTATGGCCACATAGCCCTATAGCCCTATAGCCCTCTAGCCCTCTAGCCCTCTAGCCTTCTAACCCTCTAACCCTCTAGCCCTATAGCCCTCTAGCCCTCTAGCCCTGTAGCCCTGTAACCGAATAGCCCTATAGCCCAATAACCCTGTAGCCCTAGAGCGCCCAGCAGCCCAATAGCCCTCTAGCCCCATAGCCCTATAGCCCTGTAGCCATAGCCCCAACACAAATTTTGATTGGGGCTTCTCTGCGGTATCATTCAAAGTTGGCTTTGGCCTCGCCCAGGCTCTGGAGGTACAACTTGTTTGTCCTCTCACGCCTGCGCTACAGCATGTTTAGGACCAACTTTGAATCTGCGGGGGGGCATGGAGTCAAGGATTCCGCCAATATCACGACACCAACGACGTTTCACGGCTTACGACAGGGAATGGCGGGGCTTACAGGTGGATTTCTTTATGTCTCTGTAAAGCACAAGTACCCGTTGGTCTCAAGAAGTGGGTAAAAGCATGAAGTAAGAAGGCGTTGGAAGTAGATTGAACTTCCGCCGGGCCCCGGAAGAGGAGGGAAGAGGGAAAACCGCTAGACTCTTGAAGTATGAAGGCGCCTAAAATCGCAGGTTGGGGAGTGAGTCCGACGAGAAAACGGAGACCCCCCCAAACCGGGAAATCGATTTCGGTTTCGGGTTCGTGTTGTGCGTGCCGTGCGTGCGTGCGTGCGGGCGTGCGGGCGAGGCGAAGCTGCGTGGGCGGGAGAGAGGAAATCCTTCTGTGGCTGGGCCGTGGCCGGACCAAATGATTCTCCTCCGGCGGCCGGTGGCCCGCGGTGTCCCGCCGGTGTCCCATGGTGTCTTGTGGTGGCCCCTGGTGTCCCGTTGAATGAGATCGATAGTGAGATCGATACTGAGATCGATTTGGTGCCCCGAGGTGTCCCGTGGTGTCCCGTTGAGTGAGATCGATAGTGAGATCGATAGTGAGATCGACAGGTGTCCCGTGGTGTCCCGTTGAGTGAGATCGATAGTGAGATCGATAGTGAGACCGAGAGTGAGATCGAGAGGTGTCCCGCGATGTCTCGTGGTGTCTCGTTGAGTGAGATCGATAGTGAGATCGACAAGTGTCCCGTGGTGTCCCATGGTGTCCCGTGGTGTCCCGTTGAGTGAGATCGATAGAGAGATCGATTGAGTCAGATGTTGGTTCCCCCCCTCTCCCCACCCCCGACCTCCTTCTCACCCGAAGGGTGGTCGTACAGGTATACGGAGATTCGTGAATCCCAGAAATCATACTTTCAACGACCGGCGTGTATCCCTACAGTCGAAACGTGTATCCCGGGGGAGGAGGAGTGAGGAGGAGGGAGGAGGGAGGAGGGAGCAGGAGGAGGAGCAGGAGAAGGACCTATGTCAAAAACATTGGCCCCCTTCGCCGAGGGACCAAGGACCCCAGAGGGCCCAGAACAAGGAGCAGCCCACGGTGGAGAAGCCCAAGCACGCAGAACCTCAGGGTGCGTGCCTCTCAAAAGCTACACCTCGGCCTGAAGAAGTGGGCAGAAACATGAAGTACAGTCGGGGCGTTGACCTAAGGAACCCTAAATAAGGAACGAGGCCCCTTTCTCCAGAAGTTAAACTTCGATTTCCGATGGAAAACCTTAAGGGGAACCTAAGGCAAATTGCACAACAATCAAGGAACACCAAGCCCCTCCCCAACGAAAAGGGTTCCTTCTTCAGGGCCCCGACTGTACCTCTCAAAAGCTACACATCGGCCTGAAGAAGTGGGCAGAAACATGAAGCAGGAAGGCGTTGGAAGCAGATTGTGTCTCCGCCCACCCCCTGAAGAGGAGGGAAGAGGCAAAAACACTGGATTCTTGGAGCAGGCAGGAGTCTAATGTAGATTGGGATCTAGGGATGCATACCTACAGTCCACCCGTACAGTAAGGATGCGGGATAAGGATGCAAGGGCCTTGGAGGGCCACTTCGAAGCTTTCCGAGCACAACGCGGCCAACGAAACTGGCCAAGGATGGACCGAGGAGGCAAGGATGCAAGGGTACCCTTGGGAAAGCTGCCCATCCTTACCATGCGGGTTGACTGTACCTGCATTCAACGACCGACGGGTACTGGTAAAGTTGCTCTGAACCCCCGTGCCATCCGTGCCCCACCTCCCCCCCCGCTGCCGTGGCTCATGGCCCACATCACGCTCTCCGAGCACTTCCCGTGGCTGTCGGCGGTCTCGCTGCACTTCCCCTCGGTCCGGCTGGCGGTCCATGCCTCTCGGGCGCAGGGCCAAGGTCCAGAGCCCCAGCGCTCGCTCGCCGCCAGCAGCAGCCTCCGCGACGTGCCCCTCCACATTCCCCCCCTGCCCGTCCCCTTCCCCTTTCCTAGGCTCCACCCATCCCCACCCTTCCCATCCCGTCCCGTCCCTCCCCTCTCTTCCCTTCCTCCCTCCCCTCCCTCCCTCCCTCCCCTCTCCCTCTCCCGCCCCGTCGGGGAGGCACCTCCCACCCCACCAGGCTCAGCTTCGCAGACAGGGCCCCTGCTGGCCATCGCTCGGACGTCCATTCCCTGTGCCTTTTTCGGTTCCGCGCGCGGCTTTTTCGCAGGATGATCCAGGATGCTCCTTGATAATCCCCGCCGAGAAGAAGTGCACACGTCCGAGCGACACCAAGCCTGTGCGGGGGCCCGACACGCTGCCGTCCCCAAGCAAATCTGGCCAGCCGGCCCTCTCCGTCTTCGCTCCTCGCTCCCCCCCTCTCTCGCCCGCCCCGCTCCTCTCTCCTCGCTCCCCGCTCCTCGGTTTAAGTCGGGCGTGTCCCCCTAAAGGGGGATTTTGGACGAAAATAAAAAATACTCCAACAAAAATACTCAACAGATGCCCAAAAATACTCAACAAAGAGTCCCCAGGCTATTTTTGTACTATTTTTGAATATTCCCCCTGTAGAGGGACAGGCCCGAATGAATCCTCGTTCCTCGCTACCTCTGCGGCCCCTCTGCGCCTCGTCTCGGCGCCGTCCCCTTCGGTACCCATGCCTGCCCTGGGGGAAGGGCCGGGGAGCGGGACGGGAGCGCGGGCTGGACAGCCGACTCCGCCCCAAGCCGCCGCAGGCCTCCGCGCTCTTGGCCCTCGGCGTGCAGTTGCCGCCACCTCCAGGTGCAGGGGGGGGGGGGGAGCGGCGAAGGGTTGGGCGCTCAGACCCAGGTCTGGCCACTGACGCCGCGGTTTCCTGCCCCTCCAGCTCCAACTCCTCCTCCTTCTCCTCCTGCTGCTGCTGCTAAGGGTAGTCTGTCCCGATGGGTGGAATCCTCCTCTCCTGCCCCACCGTGCCGACTGGGACGGTGGGGCGCGCATTCGGGAAACTGTGAAAACCGCCATCTGCACATCTCCTCCCCGCGGCCCCTCAGGGCCACGTTCAGCTCGCTGTTCTTGCGGCCCAGGAGCTGGTACGCGATATGGCGGGCCCCGCTGTCGCTTCCAAGAGTGCAGTGGCGTCGTGGTCTGGGGATTGGGCGCAGGGAGGTGGGGGCGAGGGGCGTGGGCGTCGGGGCAAGGGTGAAGTGGGGAGTGACGGGCCGGTCTCTGCCGGGGGGCGCGGCGGGGGAGTCCGCCAGACGTCAGTACCTCGTCGGGGGTGGGGAGCGTGGGCCCCGCTCAAACCGCTTCTGAGGACAGGCGCAAGGGTGGGGGGGGGGAGGCCTGGTGGCGTCGCAGTGTGGCGGCGTGGTGAGTGGCCGAGGTGCGCGTCGTGCCTCGGCGGTCGCTGCCGTGGGGGATCGCGCAGGCCCAGTGCCGTCGGGTCGTCCTGACCGGTCTACCAATGCCAAAAGCATCACAATAAGCATCGGCGCCGCCGTCGTCGTCGCCGTCACCGCCGCCGTCGCCGCCGTCGTCGTAATAATTGTAGTAGCTGCAATCGCAGTAGCGGCGCGGATGATAGAGGTGTATGGGATGCATTTGTGATCGCATAAACGCCAATAGCGTCACCATTTGATCAGTGAAATTTGATAGCACAAACAACAATCATGATAGTAATGCTGGGACTCGAAATCCCACCATCCCTTTGGGCGACAGGCGGTCTAACGAGATCTTTATTCCCTATTCCAAAACTTCCTCTTCCCCTTCGGGAGGGGTTTACCCCTCCCCCTACCCCCTCCCCTGGACCTGGACGGGGGCGGTCGCGATGTGTCAGGGGGTCCTTTTTGGCCCAAGACGGCCCCGAGAGGGCCTAAGAGAGCCCAAGATGGCCTTCAATATCGCTCGAGACAGCCCAACATGGCTCAAGATAGCTAACAACATGCCTCCAAGAGGCCCCAAGAGGACCACAAGACGGTCCCAGGTGTTTTTGGAGACCCGTCGGGACCTCCCCGAGAAAGCAAATTCCTTCAAAAACCTTAAGAAAATCAATGATGTTTGCCTTCTCGCCCTGTCGCCTCTGATGCGCTTTTGAGGCCTCAAAATGGCGCCAATATGGCCCAAAAGAGCTCCAAGAACGGCACAAGAGGCCCCCAAGACGGCCCCAAGAGCGCCCAAGAGCGGCCCAAGAGGGCCCCAAGAGCGCCCCAAGAGGCGATTCCGATGGCCCCCAAGGGGGGAAGCAAATCGGGGACCCCCCTCCTTTTTGATCGATGGCCTCCAAGATGGCTCCAGGAGGCGCTCCATAGCCCCCAAGAAGGCCCCAAGAGAGGCCCAAGAGAGCCCGAAGAAGGCCCCAGGAGCGCCCCAATACGCCCCAAAAGAGCCCCAAGAGGGCCCCGAGACCCCCAAAGAGCCCCAAGAGGGCCCCAATATGCCCCAAAAGAGCCCCAAGAGGACCCCCAGACCCCCCCCCCCCAAAAAAAAAAAAAGGCCCAAGAGGGCCCCAAGATGCCCCAAAAGAGCCCCAAGAGGACCCCAAGACGCCCCAAAGAGCCCCAAGAGGGCCCCAAGATGCCCCAAAAGAGGGCCGATAGGGCCCTGAGACCCCCAAAAGTGCCCCATAGCTCCAAGAAAGCCTCCGGTGCTCCAAGATAGCCTCCAAGATGGCTCGACACCCTCCTCCCCCTCCTCTCCTTGCCCGCTCTGTTTCACTATATGTGTCTCTTCTTTCCATTGCCCGTCAGCTCTCATGGGAAGGGCTTCTGAATGGACAGGCGGGGACTCGCGAAGCGTAAACAATTGTACTACTAGTAGTAATGGTGGTGGTACTAGTTGTAGTAATAATAGCAGAAATGGCTTCTCGCACCGTCTTCGATAAACGTATCCAGCAGAAGTACGACGCAAGAAACAAGCACTGGCAGGTTCAAGCATGCGCTGCGTTTGCCGACGCCCAGCTCTTGAAAGCGGCCCTACAAATGCCGCCGCTGCCCGAGCCCGCGCAATTGCAGCAGACATGATCAGGCATTGCTGATCGCCCCCAGCAGCCGCCCCAACGGCCGCCCCCCATGCTGGTTCGCGCCAGAGGCTGCGAATTATCGCCAGAGGCCAGAATCGCTGGGCGCCAACATCAACACATGGCACTCGATCTCTGCAAGCTGACCTTTCGCCACCTCTGCAAACGACGCTTCCTTCGCAAGCGAATGCTCCCCGCCTGCGCCCAAGAACATCTGGGCAACCGCGTCCTTCGCGTCACCCCGAAGGTGTTCCTTGACGCCCATGCGGGCTAGAGCCATGGACAACAATCGCTCGTCGAAGCCCAAACAGGCACGCGGGGGGGGGCCGTCAAGCAAGTCCCACGCGCGCGCCCAGGCGCGGAGAATATCACTCCTCGAAGCCCCTGCTTGAAGCAATGCCTGGGCGGGTTTCGCATCGAAGGACAAGATGCTCGCGACAGAGTCTGCGACGCACCGCCGCCTCTCGGACAGCGCGCGAGCCAGAAATAAGCCTCCAGCGTGCCAAGCTCGGCAACATTGACACAGTGCCCCCGCGGCGGGGGCGCGCACCCATCGCAAAATGTCTTGGAACACCCACGCCAAGATGGAGACGATGGCTGGCTTCGCGGTGGCTTTCGCTGCGATTCTCGCGTAACAACGAGTCTCGCCAGGGCACGCTGTCGCGCCAGGGGCTGCGACGGGGGAAGCCATCCCCAAATCCTCCACGACGGACACCGGGAGCGCTGGCGGCGGTAAAACCTTGCGGGCAACAGCTTCTTTGTTTGTGGACAAGCACAGAAAGCAAACCAAGTCGTCGAGTCCGTAAAAATACTCAGGAGGTGCACCAACGCCACCTTGCGGAGACGTCGCGCCAGGGGCTGCGAGTACAGCGGCCAAGGCTGCGCGGGCCACCTCAGCCGATTCGTAGGGATCAATTCCCGCGTCGTCCAAACCCTCTTCGGCCCCGGACCCCATGCCAGCGAGCAGGGGCCAATCTTCCTCGTCGACAGGCACGCCCAGGCCCTCCGCCTTGAACAACCACCGCATGAACCTTGGGAACACGACACGAATGCAACAATCCGCTTTGCGGGGGAGGGCGAAGGGGGGGGACTGCAGGATTGCCGGATTACTGCGTCGGGGACACGCAGCAGACGGAAGACGGGGCCAAGCGCGCCCAAATATCTCATATCTGGCGCCCCCCCTAAGGATTGGGCCGACCAGACCGCGCGGCCCGCGTTTGACGCGGGGCCGCGGGGGCATGCGTTCGGGTGGCTATGTTCCGCTACGGTTCCCAGAAGAGAATGAAAAACGAAGCCCTGTTCCGGAGGCAGCTGCAGGCGCCGCGCGCGGGCGGGCGGCGGCCCTGCGCGATCCCTTTGACCGAGGGAGAGGGGGGGGGGGGAGGGTCAACGCGGGCAGCGAACGAGGAGGAAGAGGACACGCGAGGGGGGGGAGGGAGAGGGGCCACATGGGGCGGGGGGAGGCACGACACAGAAGAGGGACAAAGGAAACCCTTGCGAGGCTCCACTTGGGCCCGACGCGCGGTCGGGAGCCCGCTGGCGGGGTGCATTTGCAGCACCCGTACCACCTGATTCGATTGTATTTGGCGTGGGCCCCGGCCCAAAGCTTTATCTCGTGCTTCCTCGGGGCGCTCTCCGCGTCCCTGAACGTGGGTTTCGCGTGGAACGCCTTGGCGAGGTCCTCGCAAGCTGCCCGGAGGTTGCCATCCCGCACATCAGGCAGCAACACCGCGAACTCCTGTCCACCAGTGCGGCGACTTGCCGGGTTCACGAATGGATGATGCGCAAAAGTCGCGCCAGAGGCTGCGCTCCCGAGCTTGCTGCTCTCATCGCGGCGTACTAACTCTACCTTGTGCTCGTCACGGTATCCAAGAACCTGGCGCCCCTTCACGTCCGCTTCCATCGAAGCCCACGCGACCTGTAACATTTCAGCTCGCTCTGCGGACTCCGCGTGATGAAAACGGGAAAATGCCTTTGACAAGTGTCCAAGAAGTGAGCTCATCGACCACCGCCAGTAGCACAGATAGACCACCACTAAAAGCTCCAAGCGCACTGCAGTCGCGCCAGGGGCTCCGGCCCGAAGATACTCGCCGCTCGCTACGCCGACACGCATGTCATGTCTGTGAAGCAAAGTGAGGATGAAACCGCCGGCGACGTATGCGCCTATTTTGTCGGCCGCTTTGCCCAAGACAGCACTCAACCGGACAACTTTCCAGTGCTGCCCTCTCGGCACTGGAGCGCGGTATGCTGTGCATTTCGGGTTTTTGCAGCTCCCATCATCTCTGGCGCGCTCGCGGCACCTCTTGCAACGGAGCCCCATCGCGCCAGAGGCTGCGAGAGCGCGCGGAGCGCTCCGTCACCCCGCGCGGCCGAACGCCCGCACGAAGAGCGCGGGCTGGACCAGTGCGCGCTCGAGCCCACGCAGCTACGCACAATCGGATAGTGAGAAGGACGTCAAGCGTTTCTTGCATGCTGCGAAGAGCAGTGTTGTGCAATTATGGGTGGGGGTATGTGCTTTCTTTGGGGGGTATTTAATATGCCCTACTGGGCGGGGTCTGGTCTACTTTTGGACGATATCTGGCCTAATGATGGGCGGTATGATTTCCTCTGGGGTGGGCCTGGTCTACTTCTGGGCGGCGTCTGGTGCACTGTTAGGAGGTCTGATTTATTTTTGGGCGGGGTCTGGTATCCTTTGGGGCGGGGTCTGGTCTCCTTGCGGCTGGTCTGATCTACTTGTGGGCGGGGCCGGATCTACTTTGGGGCGGGGTCTGGTCTACTTTTGGGCGTGTCTGCGCTACTTGGGGACAGGGTCCGATCTACTTTTGGGTGGGGGTTGATCTACTTTTGGGCGGGGTCTGGTCTCCTTGTGGGAGGTCTGATCTACTTCTGGGCGGGGTCTGATCTACTTGTGGGCGGGGTCACGTCTCCTTGCGGGCGGTCTGATATACTTTTGGGCGGGGTCTGATCTACTCTTGGGCGGGGTCTGGTCTACTTTTGGGCGGGGTCTGATCTACTTTTCCACGGGGTCTGGTCTACGTTTGGGTGGTCTGGTCTACTTTTGGGCGGGTCTGGTCTACTTTTGGACGGGGCGTCGTCTCCTTGCGGGTGGTCTGATCTACTT